CTGTAGGCCACTTCGTGGTCTTCGAGCTCCCAGAACTCCATTCCCGGGCCACATTTTGAATGCCCGGAGCCAACTGTAGGCCACTTCGTGCTCTTCGACTTCCCAGAACTCTATTCCCGGGCCACATTTTGAATGCCCGGAGCCAACTGTAGGCCACTTCGTGCTTTTCGAATTCCCAGAACTCCATTCCCGGGCCACATTTTGAATGCCCGGAGGCTGAGGCACTGAGGCTGAGGCTGACGCTGAGGCTGAGGCAGGCTGAGGCTGAGGCTGAGGCAGGCTGAGGCCGAGGCAGAGGCTGAGGCTGAGGCAGGCTATGGCTGAGGCAGGCTGAGGCTGAGGCCGAGGCTGAAGGCAGACTGAGGCTGCGGCAGGCTGAGGCAGGCTTGAGGCTGAGGCTGAGGCTGAGGATGATGCAGGCTGAGGCTGAGGCTGAGGGCTGAGGCCGAGGCAGGCTGAGGCCGAGGCAGAGGCAGGCTGAGGCTGAGGCAGGCTGAGGCTGAGGCTGACGCAGGCTGAGGCCGAGGCAGGCTGAGGCTGAGGCTGAGGCAGGCTGAGGCTGAGGCAGGCTGAGACTGAGGCTGAGGCAGGCTGAGGCAGGCCAGCCTGAAACATTAGCCAACCGCGGTTGTTCTGAGAGTCCCTCTGGCCTGTGTGTTATGATCTGAGAGTGAGGCAGGCTGAGACTCAGGCAGGCTGAGGCTGAGGCTGTGATTGCGAATGCCGTTGCCACTGCGACTGTCATCGCGAATGCGACTGCGACTGTGAGAACAGCAGAATTCTACAACTGGATTCTGATCTGAATCTTAAGGAGAATGCTTCCAGATATGCTTCTACACATCGGGATAATTTTTGGCAGGGCCCACACCTTCCAATGGCAGGCACGTGTACGCCCACGAAGGATTGTCCGCCCGTTCAGAGAACGAATTCCCCACAAAGGGGGTGTGATCGAAGACAAAATCAGCTGGTCTCGAGGGTGTGGGGAACCCGTTTTGAATAACACGCGGGCAAGTAAGAGCGAACAGCCTTATAATGATTGTGATTTTTGGGGGGGGTTTTGTTGTGCTAGGGTTGTTGTGTTGGGAGATGGTGTTGTAGTGTTGTGGTGTTGGTGTTGTTGGTGTCGTTGTTGTTGTTGTTGTTGTTGTGTTGGTTGTTGTTGTTGTTGTTGGTGTTGTTGTGTTGTTGTTGTTGGTGTTGGTGTTGGTGGTTCGTTGGGTGTTGTTGGTGTTGTGTTGTTGGTGTGTTGTTGTTGTGGTTGTTGTTGTTGTTGTTGTTGTTGGTTGTTGTTGTTGTTGAACATTTACTTCTAAAGAATAATTATTGTTGGTGAGACCCATGGTGCACGGCCCCCCGCTGCGCCTAGGCCGCAGCCTCATTTTCATCATTTTCGTGCGGAAGTCTCAGGCAAAACGATTATGTCCGGATCCGGTTGTTTTGTTCCCCCCCGCTTTCCCTTGTAAAAAATACTATAAAATGAAAATTCTTGTTCTTACTTGATCAAATTGCAAGAATTCCTTGCAAAAAATAAGGTAAAGTGGACATTCCTGCGCGCAAGACGAAATCCTTCCAAAACCTGAGGTTTTGTAACGTTTTTAACATAAAAACATCAAAAACCCAATGGTTTTTTAAGAAAAAATTGTCAAAATGTTCTTCCGCGCGCTCTTGCGGATTCCTAGGAAAACCAACATTTTTTAAACAATTCTGTTAAACGGTCTTTTGGGAGCAACTTTTTCGAACTTCTGCGACAACGTTTGCGCATCTGCCAGGGCCATCATCCCTGTCAAAAAATATTATGCGGGACATATTCGTTTTTTCTTTGCGCGCGCACGCCGAAACCTCCAAAGCCTCTCAAGAGGACCCCATGCGGCGCCAGGAGGCTTCCCCCCTCGGGGCCCAAACAAGTGATCAACCTCTGCGGGTGTGTACTCCACGCCAGTGTAGTATCCACGATCGTCCGCGCGCCACGAAGTGAAGTGTCCTGACGTCATAGGGCGGGAAGCTGGGTGTGGGTGGTTCCCGAGAGTCGTGTGGATGTTTGGTAGAGCTTGCATTGCCCCCCACGAAGTGGGGGTATTGGCTGGCGTCGCATGAAAACCCTGGCACTGGGGAGAACACTGAGCGTTCGGGTAAAATGATTGTTGTTGTTGTTGTTGTTGTTGTTGTTGTTGTTGTTGTTGTTGTTGTTGTTGTTGTTGTTGTTGTTTTGTTGTTTTGTTGTTTTGTTGTCGTCGTCCTCCCCGCGACCCACGCCGCGACCCACCCGCGACCCACCCCGCGACCCGCCCCGCGACCCAACCCGCGACCCAACCCGCGACCCACCCCGCGACCCACCCCGCGACCCACCCCTCGACCCACCCGCGACCCACCCGCGACCCACCCCGCGACCCACCCGCGACCCACCCGCGACCCACCCCGCGACCCACCCCTCGACCCACCCGCGTCCCACCTCGTGACCCGCCCCGCGACCCACCCCGCGACCCACCCCGCGGACCCCCCCGCGAACCTCACCGCGACCCACCCCTCACCGCGACACACCCCGCGGACCACGACCCACCCGCGACTGGCCCGCGACCCCACGCGGACCCCCCCCTACTCCCCCTCACCTTCCTGCCTCCCCACCTCGCGAACCACCGCGACCTCCCTCCTTTTTTGTTTCGTTATATTGTTATTGTTTGCTTGTGTGTGTGGATGCTTTTTTGGCCCGTGACCACCCGCGACCCACCCCACGATCCACCCACATTGCTTTAGCGAGAAATCGGCGCATGCGGCGGGCTCACTGCATATTTTGTAATAGTTAGGCGCCTGCGGCGGGCTTCATCGTAGCTTTTCAGTCTGACGACGTCCTCGCTGCCCCCTCACTCTTATCCGCAACTGCGGGCTGCTGCAAGCTACCCTCCTAGATAGCAGGCCGTCTAGCTCACATACGTATCGCCCGAGTGCCAACAGATCGCTCAGGAACGCCACGCATGCCATGCGCGCCGCGGGTTCCAGGTGCACCAGGCACCCTGGAGGCCCAAGCGTGTCAGGTGCGGCACATGCTCCAGCCGCGCCAGGTGCGCCAGCTACGGCGAACCAGTAGGGACCCCAGGTGCGGGGCCCTGCCCCCAAGGAGTTCAGGATCTCGAATCCCTCTGAAGCGAAATGCTGGACATTCTGTGAGAAGGTCGGTTGTGCCAGGGAGCGCAAAGCACCAGCACCGATTGACAAATTATGACATGCTGAGGAGTAGCGAAACAGATGAGAGATCAGAGAAAGAGGGCCCTGCGCATGCCCCAGGCCAAAATGTACATGTGTATTGTTTTTTGAAAGGGATGGTTGGCTTGTGCGCTGCCGATATGCTGGCACCCGCGCCGTCCATGTCAAAAACCTATGCGAAGTGGTCGCGGGGCGCCCGCGCATGCCCCAGATTTTGGGGCACGGTGAATTTGTTTTTTTGTTTTACAAGGGGTGGTGGGGGGGGGTCGTTGCTCTGGGTTGGCTGCCGGTCGCCAGGGGGAGGGGGGTGTTTATCAATAGGGAACAGTGTTCCAGCTACCCACAAGCCGCAAACCGTCTCGCTCATTCACACCTGCTCCCCCAACACATTAATAGCACCGGAGCGTCAGCATGCTCAGCGGTCGCCGTTAGATGGGCAGCCACTGGGAACCAATCTGGACGCCAGGTGCGCGACGCTGGTGAGGTGCACCACGCGCGCCATGCGCACAAGGTGCGGCGGTCGCCCCAGAGGCCCAAGGGTGCCATGCGCGCCTAGTGCGCCAGATGCGCCATGCGCTCCGCATGCGCCATGCGAAAGTGTGCCACGTGCTCTGTCCGCGCCAGGCGCGCCAGGGCACCTGTCGTCACACGTCCAGAACATGTCGGCCCCCCACCACGCCAGTCCAAAACTGATGCAGCACGGCGGCGGGGTGCCATCATGATGTACGGCATGTGCATTTTCAGCCACTAGGCATCACGTGGCATAGCCACAAGGATGGTGCTCCAGCTCAGACCACACAAAAGGCCCCCACTACCATGCCGTTCAATTGATGTCAGAAAACGTGGACCCAAGCAATGTGTTTCTAGCACTCTACATTGTAGAATCAATGTGGAGCAGTCTATATGGTGCAATTAATTTCTGTTCGCGAGGATTCGACGAAAGTATGCGGCAAAAAGGGTGTAAATGTACAATGTAAGTGTACAGTAGCACTTGCAATTAGTTAAGTGTACTAATTCAGTGTATTCGCTAAGTGTATTAGTCAAGCGTACTAGTTTGATTAAGTGTATTAGTTAAGTGTATGAGTTAAATGTATGAGTTAAGTGTATTAGTTAAGTGTAAGTATGGGGACGGGCTGGCAGTAGAAGGGAGGAGAGGGAGGATCGGTGTGTACTAGTGAAGCGTATTGCTTAAGTGTATTAGTTAAGTGTACGTGTGGAGGGAGGAGAGGGAAGGGGAGGAGACGGAAGGAGAGGAGAGGACAGGAGATGATTAATACACTTAACTAATACACTTAACTCGTACACTGAACCAATACACTGGACTAGTACACTTAACTAATACACTTAACTAACACATTTAACTAACACACTTGACTGATACGCTTAAATAATACACTCAACTAATACACTTAATTAATACACTTAACTAGTATACTTAAGTAATACATATAACTAATACACTTAACTGATACAATGAACTAGTACACTTAACTAAATACGAGCACTACCGTGCACTGACACTTGCGGGGACTGGGGGGGCCCGTCCCTGGACCGAGGGGTTCCGTGGAGGGACGGAAGGGGGGAGTCCGTGCACGGAACGGTTTTTTTTTCCTGGGGCCAGCGGCTGGTTCGGGCGCGGGACTTCTGGGGACTGCGTATTGGCAAACTTTGGAAGTCGCACGGCTGGGGCTCGCCTTGGCCTTTTTGTCGAGCTCGCTTTCCATGTCGCTTTGCCCTCTGACTGACCTGGAGCAACGCTTCGCGCCGTAGTGCGTGCTGCGAGTTCAACTCCGTCTTGCGCACTATGTCTGGCGCCCAGAAATCAGCGTGCTCATCGTGTCGAACTCGCCGGGCACTTGTCGCTTGGCATCGACGTGGAAGACCTCGCATGGTTTTGGCCTCTTCTTCCTTGCCACCGAGGGTGGCCAGCGAGTGGTCTGCCGCCTGTGCCCACTTCATGTACTTGTCGCCTAGCTCCTTGCTGGCTTGACGCGTAAGCGTGTAGGCCGTACTCTGCTGCATCAGTTCATCAGGATTTGGTAATTCATAAGGTTCAGCTTGTTGCCTGATGACTCGCCACTGCTCATCCGAGACGGCAGCCAGCACCTGCTTCGTGAGCGTCGGCGAGAGGAGGTCATTGATCTGTTGGCGCTCTGCCTGCAACGCCAGCTGCTCATCAGCCAGGTCCTCTCCCATTTGGTCGCTCTGGTCGGTCATGTGTTCCGTGAGGCGCGCGTGCTTCTCGCGATCACGTCGCTCACGTTTGAGCCCCATTCTCCACGTGCGTCGCGCGGAGAGGTGCCCGATGAGCTCGAACTGGAGTCAGGGTCCGGAGTCTCGTGGGACGCCTAGCTGTCTTGACTTGTAAGCCGACGTTGGGACGCCGCGATACCTTGGTGACTGAATATGACGCTTCCCAAGTAAGGTCGAAATGATGGTGGGCATAGGAGGCATCGGAGGATGGATTGATCGGACCTCCTAACCCTGGAACGTCGATAAGTGAATTGGCCGTCTTCGGTTCGCAGAGGGGCGTCGCGGCCGTCATTTTTGCGGGTCCAGGTCCGTCGGTTTCGGTCCCAGGCCGTTTTCACTAAGGGGAGGTTTACTAAAGGGAGGTTTGTCCACCGCCGACGTAGTGCAAGGTGCGTCCTCGTCCACTTGAACACGTCGCTTCCACTCCCGCTGGCGCCAGCGGTTGCGCGGCCAACTTCTTGGCCCAAGGAGACTGCGAAGATGTTTGGGGTAACGTTCCACTCGCTCACCGTTGCCCATGGGGTATCAATGCTGGCGACACCGGACATTATAGCCATGTTGTCTCAGGTTCGTCGGATTTTAACAGCCACCTTTGAGCATGACGAACACGAGTATCAAGTACAAGAACATCAAGAACCGATTAACCTAAATAAACCTTGGCACAATCTATCGACGGACAGGCAAAACACTTTCCATAGATACACCTACATTGCACTCGCGGATGCTGCTGGTGACCAGCAGCACAAGAGCAGCGGTCAGGTATGCTCGTCTGAATCTGGAAGTTAGCGAGGGTGTCGGCCTAGCATCCGTGCATGTGTTGGACGGTGTCGGCGTTGAGTCCAAAGGGCCTCCACACGAACAGGATCAAGAGGTGTCGGGCTCCGAATATTGGCAATGCAGCCTGATCAGCGGCAACAGTAGCGTGAACAGTGGGGCAATAGCTATGACCGATTGCTGAGAGCCAGTGCCGACATCGTTCACAGATGGGGAGCGGGAGGCATATTGACGGTGAGTGGGAAGCGGGAGGGGAATGGGGAGGGGGGAGGAGCACAGGCGTCAGTGGCGGACAGAGGGGAATGCTGAGAAGAAGAGGCTGGGGAGGGGTGAAGGGGAAGGGAGGGGAGGGCGGGACGCGAGGAGAGCGAGCGTGGAAGGGCATGGCGAGAGCGGGCTTGCCCCTGCTTTCCCGCAGGAAGCCCGTTCGGCTCGCACCGCCGCCGCGGGCCCCCGCCGGCGCTTTGGCGTACGGCTGCGGACCAGACTCGCCACGGGAGACGACCGGCGGGGCATTGGGCTCGTCGGCAGGCCGCGCGGGACGGTCTGCTCTCGAACGTGGGGGGCTCACAGGCGAACCCTGCCCCTACCCCCCACGAGTTCTGCGGGGGAGGGGGAGGTTCACTTCGTTCGGGGGCTCGCGAGCGAAGTGGACCCCACCCACCCCCTCGGAAATCGTGGGGGGTAGGGGTAGGGTTCGCCTGTGGCCCCCTAAACGTGCCCAGCCACTTGCTCGACGTTCCCCAATAGCTCGCCCGTTGTGGTGGCTCCGTGGTGAACGAGTTCGTGCAAATTCCATTGCCGACGGCCTCGCTGATGCGAGAGCCGCCCAGGTTCAGGTCCCAACAGCTAAACAGCTGTTGTCCCAACAGCTGTTTAGCTTTAAAACATTTCGAGCACCAAGAAAGTATCGAAGCTGGATTTTCGCGTGTCGGGCCCTGTGAGGCGATACTCGTTCGACATTGTTTCGATACTTCTCTGGGTTCTCGAAATGATGTCCGTGGTGTGGTCCTTCAGTGCGATACGGCGGAGGCGTTGGTTGAGGAAAGCGCCCAGGAGGCTGCAGACCCTGGAGGATTCCTTATCTGATGATGGCGGCGGTGATATGGCCACGTTTCGATTGGAGTTCCACCGGCTTCCAGACCCTGGATTCCTTATCTCAGGGTTCCTTGTCCAATGCCCCACCGTCGTCCGTAGCCATTTTGGCTCAAGTCCGTAGCCGTTTCTGGCACAAGGGCTTGAAGTCACCTGGCGTGGGGGAGGCGCGCCCCCGCCCGCGATCCTGCGGCCAGGTTGGCTGCAGACATACTTGTGTGAGCTCCTGTCGGAGCAGCTCCCGTGAGGAGCACCGTACCCTGCAACGACGTCCAGGATTTGCCTCCTGGTGCTCGCCCCATGGCTCCTGCTCCTGCGGCCGTGCGGCCTCCGTGGTGGAAGCTGCCGACCAAGTTCGTGTCCCCACCCTGGGGAGGGCAACAGAAGCACCAGTGGCAGGCATGGCGGGACATCGGTTCCGACGACGACCTCGAGGGCTGGCACCAGGTGGGGCAAGCTGGAGGAGGGCCGTGGTGCAGTAAGTGCGGCTGCAAGAAGAACTCCAAGGGCAGCAAGTTCTGCAAAGCCTGCGGCCATAAGCTCTCGGACATCAGCCCAGCCGTCGCTGCCGAACCCGCTGGGGTCTGGAGCGAGCAGCGAAGACAGCACGGGGATGCCGATGGCAAGGACGGCAAAGGCGGCAAGAAGGGCAAGAAAGGCAAGGACTCGGGCAAAGGTGACGGCGGCAAAGGTGGTAAAGGGGGCCGTGCTGAGGGAGCAGCAGGCGGTGACCCAGCCAAGCTTCCTCGAGCGCCTGGTGCACAGTTCCTGGTGGCCCGGGAGGGACCCTCGGTGGAGCTTGAGTTCCACGAGCTGGAGCAGCTGGTGGCCACGCTGGAGAAGCTGGGCGACACGGTCAGCCTCGCGAAGCACAGGCGCACCCTTCAAGAACGGCGACGACTCCAGCAGGAGGCGCTCTATGTGCCGCCATTGTCGCAGAGAGTCACGCAGGCCCACAAGCAGGTGCAGGACATCGCGCAGAAGCTGGAGAAGGCGGTGCTGCACTTCGAGCGGCTCGAGGAGGGCCTCGAGAGCCAGAGGCGGTGGGTCCAATCTCTTTGCGAGGACATGGAATCGAAGAAGGCTGAGCACCGCAAGCTGGTGGTTGAGCTCAATCGTCAGATGGTCGACATCAGCCAGGACTCAACTCCGTCAGTGGCCCCCATCAGTGTGGCTGGCATCCTCGACGGCTCCATCGAGGAAATTCCTCTTTCGTTTGCTGGCCTTGGGTTCGACGACGAGGAATACGAGATGGATGCGAATGACAAGAAGGAGCTGGCAGATCGCAGCGCCCGCCTCAAGAGCGAGCTGTCCAACGCCGTCAAGCAAATGTTCGGGCAGGCGGCAGAGAAGGCCAAACTCTTCAAGGAGGAGCAGGACGCCATGGCTCTACGGCTGGCTGGGAAGAGGCGGCGTCAGGGTTCAGGCCCTGGAGACCCTGGCTCAGCAGGGGCGGCCGCTGCAGGATCAGCTCCGAGAGGCAAGGGCGGCGAGGCAGCGGACTCCGACGCGACGACGCCGTCGCCTCCCTCCGCAGCCAAGCAGTCGCCCAAGGAGGAGGAGTCATCCAGAGACAACTTCGAGCAGAGGGCGGCCAGGATCTGTCGCCCGCCGCCCCCTCAGGCGGACTCTGCCTGAGGGGGCAGACCCAGTTGACGCAGAGGCTGAGGGTGATCGGCGGGCGCCCTTGGCCGAGGCAGCTGGATCTCTTCGACCAGCGGACCGTTTCTGGAGCAACAAGTCCGTGGACCTCGACTGGCCTCAAGTCGGGGGGTTTTGGGTCCCTGCCCTGGCCCGCCCAGACAAGGGGGCAACGCTGATCGAAAGGCAGTACTGCAAGCCGCTGTGCGCCGTGCCCGAGGCAGTCCTGCCCGAGCCCTTGGGGCAGAGGCCAGCGGCTATGGGGCCCCCACCCGATGCTGCTGACCCGGAGTGGCAGGCCATCCAGGACTTCAACGACATGAGGGCTGACCTCAGGGACTGGGCTGCCGCCTGGTTTGACTCTCACACTGAGCTGGAGACAGACAGCGGGCACTGAAGGCGCTGGTGCAAGGCTTTCCTGGGCGCGATGCTCGCGGACGGCGGGAACGAGCCGCTCAGGCGCCTACTGAGGATCTGGTTCCCAGGCTGGCACTTGGACAATATCCTGGACGAGCTGTGCCTCAGCGGCTGGAGGCAGTCAGAGCCCCGCCGCATTGCCTTTCTGGTCAGGCTCAACAGTGCCCAGCCTCTGGATCGGTGGCGACTCGAGCACGCGCACTGGAGGCAACTGGCGCAGATCAGGGCCATGTTTCGCCGACTACTTGGGGACAGAGCTCCTGGAGACCCAGTGCCGCCTCAGAGGCCTGGTGGGGGAATGGAGTCGGACCCTACTCGTCGGCCTGACCCTGATGACGACCAGGCGATGGACTACGTCGACAACCTGACGGCGAAGCTGCTCATGCTGTCGCACGCGCCCTCGCAGCCGCCTCCTGGCGGCAGGGCCTGTCCCAGCCAAGCCAACCTGCACGTGGTGCAAGCCAGCCTTGGGTCGCCCTGGTCAGCAAAGGGAGCCTCTTCGGTTTCGCGGACTGCGGTGTCAGAATGCATCCCTGGACAAACACGCCAGAGCAAGGTAAGACCTGGTCCCGAGTGCTCCTCGAGCTCGGGCCAGGCTCAGTCGCCACCCGCTGGATCAAGACCCTCGCCTGTCGAGAGGGTCGTGGGTGCTGCAGACAGTCCAAGCTGGGACTCAAGAAGCTTTCTCAACTCCAGTGTCACGGTGGACACCCTGGGCCTCCGATCTGTCCCAGAGCTGCAGAACACCAAGGGGGGCGTCTTGCCACAGAGGGAGGGGCCGCTAACGCTCTGCTTGGCCAAGCTGGCGGCGCCGCCTGTGGCTAGCCCAGCGTCCTTCATCTCTTCGAATGGCACGACATGGAAGGAGGCGCAGACGGAGCTTGAGCGCCTCTCGGACTCTGGCTTGAAGGGCGATGTCTACCTTATCCAGGAGACGCGCTTCACGGGGAAGGAGAAGGAGAGCGAGGCCATCGGATGGGGCACTCGCAACGGCCTTAACGCTTCATTCAGCCCATGCAGGAGAACGGGAAGCTCGGCCCAGTCGGTGCCATCGGGGGTTGGCTGTCCTGTGGCGGCACACAGAGGATCAGCAC